GGACAAACCTTGAAACTCTTGAGTGCAGGTTTGTTAATAGCTTTGAGTTGCCTCTTCAGATCTATCATCTCTTCTTCCGATGGTATTTCTCGGCGTTTCTGAGATGCATCAGCGACTAACGTAAGAGAGATTGTTAATACTAATAGAATCAGTAACACAAGACCATTGGAGGAACCCATTGTAGGCATATCCAAAAGTCGACGCTAGCTCCTATCTTTCCTCTGTTAATGAGTAATACTGAATCAAACGAAGCAGTTATAATGAATGAATAACTTGCAATCAAAACGATTGAAGAATTTACACATTGCATTTTTCTTTCCATGAAAGAAATCCAATAAAGAGAAAGTTAATTAATTTAGTCAAAATAATAAAAGAGCAAGTAAATAAATGAAATTTAAAGCGAAAAGTAGTCAACGGTTACACATGCAGAGTTAAGGTAAGTAATCTGAAACCATTAATAAAAAAAAAAAACTAATCCAAAATCATATAAACAAACAACCTTTAAACATTAGTTGACAAGTGGTTTTCTCTTGCCCTTATGTGGTACAAGTTATTAATACACTTGTTGTATTCTTGTGTTATTAAAGTATCTTAAAGAGAGAATTAGATAAACAAGAATCAGTAAAGTTAGAGAGGCAAAAGGCGACTGGATTCAAAATTTAAAAAAGCTTTTTGTCTTATGTACAATGAAAATGTTGTGGGAGATAAATGCGCTGACAGGTATATTAGTTTGCCCACAACTCTTCGGTATCTTGATTTCTCTGTTGGAGCTTGATCTTCTAAGATTTCAAACCAGTGATTTAAAACCATTGGTGTTTCTGTCCCTCGGTTTCTAGCTCCCATTGTTGAGGACTTTATGAGAATGTCTTTGCGAGCGAAACAAGTAAAATGTGTGCTTAATTTACATTATATTCACGGACTAGTCTTGGTTGTTTAGTGCTTATGGATTCACGGGGATACAATAATAATAAAAATAAAAACTATATGTTATATTTCGATCATTTGACACATGCAGAGTTTAGGTAAGGCATCAACATGACAACAGATTCGACGATTACTCTAATGGTCCATGTGAGGTGTGTTTTGCGCTGTGTGATAGAGACAAATGTGATATGTCCACATCATTTTGAGTTGTAAAATACTTGTTTTAACAAATTATATAACAGTTGCTTAATCTTTATGTCCACTCGTTTTCTCGCCGTTGTCCAGTCCATTTCATCTACCCACCCCCACGTTATTGTAATATCATTCTAAACTTGTTTCTGCTCTAAGACTGACTAAACCAATAACCGTTTAAACAAATTAAAAACTAAACGAATTTAAAGTCTAACATGAAAATGTTGGTTCATCAAAACAATTGATGATAGCTCAACCGACTGAGAGAAAATGCAAAACATCAAAATTATCTTACTAACCATTGCAGTCACAGTTTATGATTAATAGATAGGTTTAAGCTATTTCTGACTAAATTATCTTATATATATTCTTTTTAAAATGCACTGGATTGCTTTATCAAAAAGAAAAATGCACTGGATTAACTCTATCAACATATATATAATTCTGCAGATGATATTAGAGAAATTTACATGATTAATAACAAAAAAAAATTGGAAATTAGCAAGTGATTAGCTTGCTAATGAAAAATTGAAAATGTTCAAATGTATAATAATTTAATTTATTTTGCCTTAATGGACCCAACTATAAAAGCAGAGCCTCATCGTTTCACTTTCTTTTAATCACATCCATTATTATCCATACAGTGTGAGAGGGAGAAACAATGGAGGGCAAAGAAGAGGACGTGAATGTGGGAGCTAACAAGTTCCCGGAGAGACAGCCGATCGGTACGGCGGCGCAGACGGACAGCAAAGACTACAAGGAACCTCCTCCGGCGCCGTTTTTCGAACCCGGCGAGCTCAAATCGTGGTCCTTCTACAGAGCCGGCATAGCCGAGTTCATCGCCACTTTCCTTTTCCTCTACATCACCGTTTTGACAGTCATGGGCGTCAAGAGAGCTCCCAACATGTGCGCCTCTGTCGGAATCCAAGGCATCGCTTGGGCTTTCGGCGGCATGATCTTCGCTCTTGTCTACTGTACCGCCGGAATCTCAGGTTAGGGTTTCTTGCCTCCGAATCAAGAACTGAAGAAATCTTGAATAGTTGTGAGAAATTTGCCAATTTCTTGGTTTGAGTTTGAAAATTCGATTAATTAAGTTTTAAATTTTTGTATTCTGATTTTTTCCGGCAAACTGTGTTTGGTAATCAACAGGAGGACACATTAATCCGGCGGTGACGTTTGGATTGTTCTTGGCGAGGAAGCTATCTTTAACAAGAGCTCTCTTCTACATAGTGATGCAATGCCTTGGAGCTATCTGTGGTGCTGGTGTGGTTAAAGGTTTTCAAACAGGACCATACCAGGCTAATGGAGGTGGAGCCAACGTGGTGGCTCATGGCTACACAAAAGGTTCAGGTCTTGGTGCAGAGATTATCGGAACTTTTGTTCTTGTCTACACTGTTTTCTCAGCTACTGATGCTAAGAGAAGTGCCAGAGACTCCCATGTCCCTGTATGTTTGCAAATTTTTCCTATTCTTGGTTTTGGTTCATATTCATGGCATAGAACGTAAACTGATATGTGTTTTGGGTTGTTGAACATTCTGCAGATCTTGGCTCCGCTTCCAATTGGGTTTGCTGTCTTCTTGGTGCACTTGGCCACTATTCCAATCACTGGAACCGGCATTAACCCGGCCAGGAGTCTTGGAGCTGCCATCATCTACAACAAGAGTCATGCTTGGGACGACCATGTAAGTTTCTCTCTTTAGTCACATCAATGGTTGTGCTTAGCGTAATAAGTATGAAATTTTGATGTGTTGTAATCCTCTGTTTGCTGTGTGTGCAGTGGATCTTCTGGCTCGGTCCATTCATTGGTGCTGCTCTTGCTGCTCTGTACCATCAGATAGTCATCAGAGCCATTCCTTTCAAGTCTAAGACATAAACTTCCACACGTTTTCTCAGCTGAAAAAATGTCTTAATCTTTTATTTATTCTATGTGCATTCCTCTTATCTCTTATGTCTCTTGTGTGATCTCTATCTACCAGTGGAGTTTGATCTTGTGATTTATATGTGTAATTTATCATGTACCAATGGAATTGAGGAATTGTCTCTTGTTACGTTGTAATGTATATGTACAAGTAATTATGTCAATGGAATTGTATCTCGGTAGACTACATTTTGGACATGGTGTAACCTCAGAATCTTGCTTCTCTTCCACATAGTAGAGTTCCAGACTTCCAGTGACAGAATCAAAGAACCAGATCTAGTTACATCTTTTACATGTTTGATGCAGCAACTGGTCCAAGAAAGTGTGAGATTTCAGCTTGAGCTTGACCTTAAGATAATAAGTACTTATTTGCCTTTGTTCATATATCAGTCGTGTCGTTTATTTATACTTATCTAACAAAATAATGATCAGAATTGTTTGTTGTTTTACCTTTTGGGAAACCCTTAATCTTTCTGCCTTCAACCTGTGACCAATGAAAATTAACAATGGTGATCTATTGGATCAAGAAAAAAGGTTGATTGTGACTAGAAGAAAAGAAGTTGATTAGCATCGTATACCTTGCAATACAAAAACAAAACCCTTAAGTCAATGAATACTAACGATCATGATGTAATTGTAGTTTAGAAATAAAAAATTTATTTTAATTGTTCAAAGTTGTATCCTAAATTAAATGTTCAAAGTTAAGACTATTGTGGCCACGTATATAAAACTTTAGATTAATCCATGAACAAAAATGATAATATAAAAGTTGGGCGGGAAAAGTTACTTAATGGTTAAGAAGTTTGGCTTGAGATTATCCTCACTTTGTCAAGTATGGACTCTTCTTTATCGATAGTCGAACTGATAAAGGTTTCTTAATCGCCAAGTTCCAACCAAAAAACATAAAAGCCTATATTTAAGAAAAAGACTTTCGACCAACATTTTGAATTGATATGATGATATAAAGTTTCAAGGATCCACATCTAAGAAATAATAAAAAAAGGAATAATTCATAATTTTAAATATAAATAGATTGAGAAAAAGGTAAAGCCAGATAAAAATTTCAAAAGCGATGAAACTAAAGCAAGTGAAGACGCATACACTATCACATAAAAAGTAGCAAACATCAAGAAATTAGATAAAAAGATAAGAGAATAATTTCGTCAACTTTTTTCTTTTGTTTTCCTCTGAGTTCTTTTTTTTTTTTTGAAAATCAATCATACGTAACAACATTGCTTTTATATTGTTTATATATAAAAATCACAAGTATAAAGTAGCTGAAGCATATGTGATTAAGATACAGAGAGAGAGACAGAGATAAGCCAGTAGAAACACATACACACAAAAAGATTCAGAGGATCATTCCAAATTTGATATAATAGGAAAAGAGAGTGAAAATGAATAGAATGAGCAACACAGTGTTAGGATTCTTGAACATCCTAACACTAATATCCTCCATAGTTTTAATAGGATCAGCTCTATGGATGGGTAAGAGCAAGACAACATGCGAGCATTTCCTTCAGAAGCCACTTCTGGTCTTAGGCCTAGCGATCTTGGTCTTGTCACTAGCTGGTCTGATCGGTGCATGCTGTGACGTGGCGTGGGTCTTGTGGGTGTACCTTTTCTTCATGGTTATCATCATAGTTGCGCTCATGGGTTTGACCCTTTTTGGGTTTATTGTAACTAACCATGGTGGTGGTGTGGGTGTGACTGGTAGGGTTTATAAAGAGTTTAAGCTTGAAGAATATCATCCATGGCTTAAGACGAGAGTTACGGATGCTAATTATTGGTTGACTATAAAGACTTGTCTCTTGGGCTCACTCACTTGTTCCAAGCTCTCTCTTTGGACTCCTATTGATTATCTCCAAAAGGATTTGTCTCCACTTCAGGTACTCCTATTAGTCTATGTCGTAACAAACAACATGTTATGATCTAGTATAATTAGTTAGCTTGTCACTTAACTTACTAGAAAATTATAAATATTTATATTTTAAAAATTAATGACTTAGTTCATTAGTTGGTTGTTACGGTATCATAAAAATGAATTATTGCTCATATTATTATTTTTTTTGTTAAAATTTCTTTTTTTATTCGATATTGGGAAACAGTCTGGATGCTGCAAACCACCGACGTCATGCGTATACAACGGGGACACGGCGATGCAGCAAGACTCCGATTGTTACCGGTGGAATAACGTCGCGACGGTGCTCTGTTACGACTGTGATTCGTGTAGAGCTGGTGTCTTAGAGACTGTGCGTCGCGATTGGCATAAACTCTCTATAGTGAACGTCGTCATTGTTCTCTTCCTCATCGCGGTTTACTGCGTTGGTTGCTGTGCGTTCAAAAACGCCAAACGGCCTCAAAATTACGGTTTCCCTTACGGACGTTACGGCATGTCCAAATCTCGACCCGGTTGGGAACAATCCTGGTGAGATTTTAATTATTTCTTATTAACTCTCTAGAGGTTTTTTTTTTCTTTTTTTGATAAAGTACTCTCTAGAGGTTAATTACAAGAAAGCAATGCTCCTAATATTTTTTATATTGAAAATACGTTTATATATGGTTTGATTTTTTTGGCGGGATGTAGGTCGAGGTGGTGGCATGGGAGAGATCAATATTACTGAAAAAAAGTGATAATTTAATGATTTAAAACTTCGCAGTTCAGCTCTTGGTCTCAACTTATAAATATATTGTACAGAGCCTAAATTTTTGTTAATAAAATGAAAAACCATTTTTGTTGTTGTTTAAAAGAGTCAGATTAACTAAGATGTGGATGACAGTAACAATATATATGCTCTAAGCCTCCAACTAGTTTAGTAAGACGTGTATGTGCAGAGGAAACCTTTTTTTTCCAGCCATGAAAACATAAAAGTAACTGTCACTACAATGTAATTAGTTTTGCAATTGTCTGAATTCCGATTTATTAGAACTATCAAGAGATAAACTTTTTATGTTATGAAACATAACTTGATTAATAACTCGTGCAACATGTTCTACAAGGTAAATTTAGGAGATTGGTTTCACACTGATCATCTCAAATGTGACGAGCCAAGGACCAGAGTAGAATACTGATATCTCAAATGGATTCTCTTTGGGCCACATTAAGAAGGGCCCATCAAGGTATACAATAGTGAAATCTTAAATAGCTTCTCCCACATCGGAAGCTTGACGATGGAACTCTCCTCTGTAGCCTAGTATAAAAGAAGACAAGTGTCGAATATTGTAAAGTACTTACCTGGACGGGGTCGACTCTTGATCAAGAAGAAGAGTGGCCTAAGCTAGTGACCTCCATTGCACATAACGGAGGGGTGCTTAGCTTAAGGTCTCCCCAAGTGAGAGAGCCTGCGTCATTATTTGTGGCAGTGGGGGCCTGCGTTCGCGCGGCCCCTTCCATACCTAATAGTTCAAATTTCATTAAATACCTCGAAAGGATCAATCATAGCTTTGATCTTCTGAAGATGTTATTTTCAGACTCTGGCTGCTAGTAACTTAATTGGTATAGGTCCCCCGCTTATCTGTTCATCTACTTTTATCATAAAACCAATCAGACAGAAAGAGTTTAGATTCAGATGAGCAAGTCCAGAGTAGCTATAGCTGAAAACATCTTCTATGCTCTGTTAAGCAATCAGCCCAAAAGGCAAACAAGTTTCGCTTGGTGAAGCAAAATCGTTGACAACTCTCTCACAGTCTTTGATTATTATCTTTTTCTTTTTTTCTCCACTTTCCTGAAGAAGAAAACAAAATGTGGTTTTTTGGATCGAAAGGAGCATCTGGATTCTCGTCTCGTTCCACAGCAGAAGAAGTTACACATGGAGTTGATGGAACTGGCCTCACTGCCATAGTCACAGGTTTGCTTCAATCGCAACTTATTCCACCACTTGTGAATTGTTGATATACTTGAATATTTTTTTTATAGGTTTGATCATTTTGGAAAGGCCCTCAAAATCAATAGCAACCGAATCGTTTTAGTTTAAACAAGAGTTGGTGATCTTGATGACATCACAAAAGTTGCATATAAATTAGAGTTGGTTGATGTTGAAGACATCGATCAAGCCATAGTAATGTGTTGTATGTAAAATCTTACTTATTTTCTTGGTTTATTGAGTTTTTATTTTATCATAATTGCTGTTGTTATTTTAATAGACATATGGAGCAAGGAAATGTTCTGTATCAGTGCACTGAAATGGATATGAACTATCCTGCATTGAGCTTGCTGGACGCATTTGGTTCGTTGAGTTATCTTTCATTTGTGTTCATATGTTTGCAGGAGCTTCAAGTGGTATAGGAGTAGAGACAGCGCGTGTTCTTGCACTGCGTGGTGTCCACGTGGTTATGGCTGTGAGGAACACTGGCTCTGGTGCTAAAGTTAAACAAGATATTGTGAACCAAGTCCCTGGGGCTAAACTTGATGTCATGGAGTTAGATCTCAGCTCAATGGATTCTGTCAGGAAATTTGCATCTGACTACAAATCTACCGGTCTTCCACTCAACCTCTTGATGTAAGCTCTCCGAAATACAGTTGTTCATGTATAGCGATTTGGGGATAATTTTGACGGTTAATGTTTTGAACTCAGCAACAACGCTGGAATAATGGCATGTCCTTTTATGCTCTCTAAGGACAACATCGAGCTCCAATTTGCAACCAACCATTTAGGTGAGTCATATAACTAATCCATCATGATCAGTTTCTTTGTGCTAAATCTATATACTATCATTAACTTTTTAAATCAGTGCCTTTGTGAACCAATTGTGTTTTAGGTCATTTTCTGCTGACGAAACTTCTGCTAGACACAATGAAGAACACATCACGTGAAAGCAAAAGAGAAGGAAGGATCGTTAATCTATCTTCAGAAGCTCATAAGTACTCCTACCCTGAAGGAGTCCGCTTAGATAAGAATAAGATCAATGGCAAGTCAAGGTACTAATGGTGAACCAAATAGGCAAATAGTCATTCTTCTTGATCCTGTCTTTTTTCTTCCAAAACTAATATTCGTACTTTCTTGGTCACTGCATTTACAGTAGTTTCCGAGCTTATGGTCAGTCTAAACTCTGCAACGTATTGCACGCCAACGAGCTTGCAAAGAAACTCAAGGTAGATACCAAAAGAACATTGTATATATCAGATCAAGAATTAATTTGTTTCGACGACTATCTTGATTCAGTTATGGTATGAATAAAAACAGGAAGATGGAGCCAATATAACAGCAAACTCACTCCACCCAGGAGCCATTGCGACAAATATCGGGCGCCACTTAAACATCTATTTTGCTGGTAATTTCTTCACTCTGATTCCAACTCTCATCACCTCATGCTGTATAAGGTTGCTTTTGATTTTTCTTCTGATCTTCTCTATCACCGGCTTGATGCAGGAGCTGTTGGTGCAGTGGTTAAATATGTTCTCAAATCTGTTCCGCAGGTATGCTTCTAAATTTCTAAACCTCACAGTGATAACCAATCAGTTACAAACTGTATACAAGGTTTCTCCGGTTAAAGGATAGACCGGTCTAGCTTTTGGCGATTGATTTTTGGTTTATTGGTTTTCATGTCAAAGTGTCGGTTTTGTAGGGGGCAGCAACAACATGCTATGTGGCATTGCATCCTGAGGTTTCAGGGGTTACAGGGGAATACTTCTTAGACAGCAACATTGCTAAACCATTACCACTCGCCAAAGATTCAGAATTGGCCAAGAAAGTTTGGGATTTCAGCAATAAGCTCACCGATTCGCAACCAGGAGAAAGTAGTTCTTGAAAGTTGATAATAAGTTCAGTGAACCTTTTTACTTTGATGGTTTTCACATTTTCATGTCTCTGTTGTGATTCCTAAAAGTCAGTGGAGATAAAAACAAAGTCATGCCGATGTACAAAACACATACATAGCTACGTTTGCAAGATATGGGCTGTAATATTAATAACCTTCGAGTGAGGCCCATCAAATGTATAAAGTAGGCCTAGTCAGATAACGAAAGACTGCAAATGTCATTTCTCCCACATCGGAAGCTTTACGATGGAACACTCCTCTGTAGCTTAGTATATAATAAGACCAGTATCGAACGTTGAAAGGTACTTACCTGGACGGGGTCGACTCTTGATCAAGAAGAAGAGTGGCCTAAGCTAGTGACCTCCATTGCACATCGGAGGGGTGCTTAGCTTAAGGTCTCCTCACGTGGGAGAGCCTGCGTCATTATTTGTGGCAGTGGGGGCCTGCGTTCGCGCGGCCCCTTCCATACCTAACAGTTCAATTTTTTTTGGAGTCCCAAGCCCAAAAATCGAGTTGGCTTACATTCTTACAGTAAGATGAAACGTTAAAAGAGACTTTAATATCAACGATGACTTTTCCCACGGAAATCCAAACTAGTCAATTTATTACGGCAGTGTGTGGTCCTTTCAAGTAATATTCAAACTTGGACAAATTGATAAAATCCACACATTCCAACACACAATATCTGAAAATTCTAAAGAAAAAAAAAAAAGAATGGGAAAGAAGAGCTCTGTATCAATCCTCTGTTTCTTGATAATAACCTTGAGTGCCATTTCTGTTTCTGCACAAAATCAAATCTGTAACGAAACTGATGGGCGTTTCAACCCAATAGTTCATACGACAAGAATCGTCTTCTCGTCCTCTCTACTCTGGCTTCTAACGTCACGGCTCAAGACGGCTACTTCAACGGCTCGACCGGGGTAGGTCCCGACAGAGTCTACGCCATGGGGATGTGCGCTCCAGGCGCTGCACCCGGTGCTTGCTCATCCTGTATCAACGACGCAACCGGAAATTTGCTACAGGTCTGTCTGAACCAGACCAACGCATTCATATGGTTCGGTGAAGAGATCCATTGCCTTGTTCGCTACTCTAACCGATCCTTCTCCGGTTTACTCGTCTTGGAGCCGTATCGAGTGCTTTTCAATTACATGGACATAGAAAAATCTCCGGAGGAATTTGATAGTGTGTGGGACAGGTTAATGTCTCGTATGGTCACAAGAGCTTCTTCCTCGGTGAGAAACAATTCTTCTACTTCTTCTTCTTTGTCATCTCCTAGTAGATACTATGCCAAGGATGTATCTCCGGTGCCGGTTTATGGGACATATCGGTGTTGATGCATTGCACTCCAGATGTTTCTTCACAAGATTGCAAAACTTTGCTAGAGAGCAGCGTTGATTACTATAAGAGATGGTACCCTGGGAAGAGAGGTGTGATTATATTGCGGCCGAGTTGCTTTTTCCGGTGGGAATTGTATCGTTTCTCTGGTGCTTTTGATGTGCTACTAACGCAACATCACTCCGCCTTCACCGCCGTCTTCTGTCGACAACCTGACCAATATACCCAAGAAAGGCAAGTCATTCGTAACATTTTCAGAGCAAATTTTTTCACAACTTTTTTTTTGGCTTGTGTAAGTTATGTTTGATTGGTTGCATTGGTTTTATGCAGATAAGAATCTCTGGTGGAGTTGTGGCGGCAATTGTTATTGGTTATTGTGGTTGATAATATTGATTGCTTTAGGCATAGTTATTTCAAGAGGAGAAAGCAAAACCAAGAATAACTTCAGAGTAAGTTCCTGTTTTATTTTTGTTTAAGCCTTGATTGGTTTGGTCCTTTTTCACAAGTTTTGGAACTATTATTGACGAGCCTTGATGGTTGGTCTTAAATGAAGCTGAATCTGTCGATTTGATCTAAAAACGATTGAAGCTGCGACAAGCAACTTTTCTGAGAGTAACAAGCTTGGTGAAGGTGGATTTGGTGACGTCTTACAAGGTAAGATCTTAATTTATCCACCTTGTTTTCTTGCGGACAAACAGTGAAATAAGTGTTTATATTTGTAATTATTTTAAAGGGTGTGCTCCCAGATGGAACTGAAGTTGCGGTGAAGAGACTTGTCTAAAACTTCAGGACAAGGTGAAAGTAGAGTTCAAGAACGAGGTTCTTGTCGTTGCAAAGCTTCAGCACATAAATCTTGTTAGGCTTCTTGGCTCTCACTGGAAGGAGAAGAGAAGTTACTCGTCTATGAGTTTGTGTCCAACAAAAGCCTTGATTATTTCTTATTCGGTATGTTGTCTTAACTTCATATACTCTTCGCCTTACATAGGGTATTTTGAAAATATGCTAATGATACATTTGAATATGCAGACTCTATGAAAAGAGCTCAGCTGGACTGGACAGTGCGACACAAATCATCAATGGGATTACTCGAGGGATTCTATATCTTCATCAAGATTCACGGCTCACAATCATACACCGTGACCTTAAAGCGAGTAACATTCTCTTAGATCAAAAATGAACCCCAAAATTCTGATTTTGGAATGGCAAGGATCTTTGAAATGGACCAAGGTGGCGCCAATACAAAGAGTAGTTGGAACCTTGTAAGTGTGTATATACTTCTTAAATTGAGCGATCAAGAAACGCTTTTTTGCTGAATAACAGAATTAACATTTCCTGTTATTAATTTGCAGCGGTTACATGTCTCCGAGTATGTGACACATGGCGAATTCTCTACGAAATCAGATGTTTATAGCTTTGGAGTATTGATCTTGAGATCATTAGTGGCAAAAGAACAGCAGCTTCCACCGATGGATGGTTCTGTTAACAACTTAGTCACTTATGTGAGTAATTATGGACTAATCATGTCTCAAACTTTGTTTAAATTTTCTTAAACAAGAGATCATAACAAATATGAAAATTATTATTACAGGTTTGGAAACTATGGAAGAAAAATTCATTGCATGAACTCACAGATCCGAGCATACAAGAAGAATGTATCGGAGACGACAGTAAAAAGGATGAAGTCATTAGGTGTATCCATATCGGACTACTATGCGTTCAAGAAAACCCTACAGATCGTCCAGCAATGTCGGAAATTCACCAGATGCTCACAAACAGTTCACTTAGTCTGCATGCACCTAAGCCACCTGGATTTTTCTTCCCGAACGGACCAGGAGCAAACTCATTAGCTCAAGAGTCGGGATCGAGCCAATTTACCAGCAAGTCTTTTACTTGTTCGGTAGATGATGTAACAATCACCAGTGTTAATCCTCGTTGAATAGCATTTTCTGTTAGGACTTTGTTTTGTTATTTTAGACAATGGCTTGTTACCTTTTCTTTATGGCCATATACAGTATGTAATTTTTTTATGTCAAACATGTGTTTTTAGCTCTTAATAGCCGTCAAATGAAGTTTTTGTTTTTATGTCTGTTGCATAAATTACTATTCAATGGTCCCCAAAAAACAAAAAAATAATAATTGAAAGTTGGAACTCCATTATTGTTAGTGCTGGTTCTACTTTTCAATTTGACTGATTCAAAATTAACAGCCAATAAGCTTTTTTCCTCCCGGTTTTGTAGAACTTTATATTGGAATATCCAAATACGTGTATATTTATATGGAAAGTCAACTTACATTTGTGTCAAGTGGATGTGGTAAGGTCAATTTAAGTAGTTGCATATCAATTTGTTCAAACTTGATGACAAAAGAATATGTTCTTACTTTATATAATCAATGATAAAATGCCAAATGTTAGAGGATTCACTGATGGTGAACTTTTAGGTTAAGATAATACTTCTAGGCTATTAGTTTCATAACCTGTTTTTAACAAAGTAGAATCTAACAAAGTGTAGGTTCCATTCTTTCTTAGTGACAAACGCTAAGGATCTTCTTTGTTAAACAATAGGCTTGGTAAACATCAGGGAAGACAATCTTTTTGTGAAATTGTTTCATAAGGGGCAAACTATAACTATAAGTCGACCATCAAATATCCATTTATTAATCAACACTCTCTTATCATCCCCCAAACAAATTACCATGTATGTATCTCTTTGACTTTCAGACAAAATTTGTGGATGGGTATGATTTGGGCCAGAATTTGTGAGGCCATCAAGGTCTAGAACAAGGGCTATTCAAAGAATCAAAGTTTGCATTCGCTTCTCCCACATCGGAAACTTTACATGGGACACTCGTCTGTGGCGTAGTATAAAATAAGACCTGTATCGACCATTGAAAGGTACTTACCTGGACGGGGTCGACTCTTGATCAAGAAGAAGAGTGGCCTAAGCTAGTGACCTCCATTGCACATATCGGAGGGGTGCTTAGCTTAAGGTCTCCCCAAGTGGGAGAGCCTGCGTCATTATTTGTGGCAGTGGGGGCCTGCGTTCGCGCGGCCCCTTCCATTCCTTACAGTTTAAAGTTTACATAGTTAAGTCCAATTTGGTGCGAGATGAAGAACAATGATCTCTCTATACTATAAATACGATATTTCCTTTTTTATTTTCTGTCAGTGACTGTTATTGAAAGTTTTGATAATTTTTTGTATCATATAGTAGAAAGTAAATCATACATGTAAATGTGCTTGGCGGAGCAATTAACGCAATATTAATGGGGAGATGTAACGTACACGAAGTTGCGTTAGGCAAAAATAGAATAGTGGCCATAAAAATTTGTCACATGCTTTGCCATCAGGCCCATCACCTTACTTTCCTCCAATTCATTACTTCGTTTTCTTTCATCCACTAATTCGAATTATCCAAACATACATTTGAATTAGGGGATAAAATTTAATGAAAAAACAAAATTAAAATCTTTTATGTTGTAACTATAAAAACTTCTTTGGGGTTGAAAACATCTATAAAGATCTTCCTTTGGCATAGATTGAGTAGGCAAAATAAGCATATATAGTAGTAATAAATTGTAAGAACGTCTAAAACAGAATTATAGAGCATAATAGTATCACTATCACATGAACAAACTAAAGAGGTATAAATGAAATACAATGGTTCCACTTCTAGATGCGCATGGTAACATCTTTTCTTACGTTTTAACGAATTGAAGCAGATAATCGAATATATTATTGGTGTTTTTTTCAGTTTATAATAGTATAGATATAGATAGCAAATCTGTAGAAATGAGCCGTCTCTTTTTGGGTTCCTTTTTGTTTCTTTATCTAACAAATGACTAGAAAGAAAACCAACAACGTACGATGAACAACACGCAAGAAATTTCCGCAATAGGCTTGCAGGAAAACAGGAACAACGAATAGTTTGTTTATAGTAATGAATAAATGAAATTAGTTTATCACAACTGAAAGGAAAATAACTAACGAAAAATCTTAGATTGACGTTTTGAGGAATGGGTACTAAATATTTTATACAGGCATTTCTACGGCACGGCATCACCATATCATTGTCTACCACTAGGTAGTTCCAAACGTGATAAATGCCAGCGGTTGCGTTTAGACAAGATTCCTGCTTATTTTTAGATCATATTTTCCTTTTACCATAATCCAAGCAAATCTATTTGCACACTGCCAATGTTATGTTTTGTCTAATGCAATTTTAGTATTATATGCTTGCTCGTATCAGAAAAAATGTTTGTTGTCTGAAAATCAGTCATTCTTCAGGGAAGAATTTCTTTTGTTTGTATGTTAGAACTTGGATAGCGGGATAATTACCAATGAAAAACAAATATTGGTGATCATTCTTTATTATTTGCTTGTATGTATATCCAAAAGTCTAGGCATGGAACCGGCGTATTGATTTTGACATCTCGTAAATCAAAAACTTGGACTATCTTTTCTTACATATATCCAAAAAGAAAACATACTTCCCAGAATTTATCTAAAAACAACCTATTAATAATTTAATATACGTAAGACCTTCCAAGTTTAAGGTTTGGTATTTATAACGTAGTGAATATGCATTTCTTAGAGAGCCGATATAAAATGATATAGAAATTTATTAAAATAATAAGTTTGATGCCAAAAGATGTAAATTCACTCATAAGTCATAACTAACTGGTTTTTGAGCTGAAAATCGATAATATTAGATAAATCTAAATTGTTAATCCAAATGCGATGGTCTCCATGACTCCATGTATGAATTATCTCTAGTATGGGTTCGATTCAAGATGGACTAAAAGTCTGAAAAAGCCATGATCTTGGAAGTAAAGATGAGACTTAGTATTGAGTTTTAACTTGCAAACTCATATAAAACATATATAACCTTTTAAAATAGTTTTTATTTAAACGAATATGAATAATCAAACTAAATGTTTCTAAAAAACCTTATTTAAGAGTGCATTTTGCAAATCGTACATTAAATAAAAAACCTATAAACCTTAATACAACAGAAAATACAAAGTATGGTTGTTAGCAAATAAGGTATCTATGTCAAAAATGACAACTTGTTATATTGAAAACCTTTTATTGTAATTCCGTAATCATCGAAACTTCATTCTTGTTAAAGAATACATTAACAGAGAACAGTGCAACCAAATAGTTATAAAAAAAAACAGTGCAGCCAAATTACCCTAAAATTACGTGAAACAGCTCACGAAATGAAACCACGTACGCAACTTTAGTTGCATGCAATATCTATAAATACCCCCCATGAACCATTTCATGCAGAATTAAGATACACCAAAACCCCATTTCAAAAAAGAAACATTTCTAAAAAGTGATCATTAATAATGGGCAAGCTCTTGGTGATAATGTTAGTTGGTATTTTCTTGGCTTTCGAAAGCTTGGAAGCTCTTGATTATGGAGATGCACTAAACAAGTCCATCTTGTTCTTTGAAGGCCAACGATCCGGTAAACTCCCGGTTAAACAACGGGTTAACTGGCGAGCCGATTCTGCCCTTTCCGACGGTGAACCAGATCATGTAAACTCCATTAATATCATCAATATATAATTTAACATTATTAATAAACATTATACCATCTCTTAACCAATTTTTCTTGTGATTTTACCAGGTCAATTTGATTGGAGGGTATTATGACGCAGGTGACAATGTAAAATTTGTGTGGCCAATGTCATTTACGTCAACCTTGTTGAGTTGGGCCGCGATTGAATACCAAAATGAGATTTCCTCCAAAAACCAGC